TGGTCCTCGCTTTATCTTTATTTATTTATTTATCTCGAAGCTGTGAACTAGTCTTATTTATTTTATCTCTAGTGATGCACTCGTCTTATTTATTAATTTATATTTATATTATTTAATTATTTTTTTATAATAATATCTATTTAGGAAGATTTGATGATATTGTAAATGGAGGTTGAACCTTGGGGGTTGAAATGAGTAATTATCACTAAGAACGTTGTTAAAAATTTGGCTCATTTATCTTGACTAATTACTACAAAATTAATTTAATTCTTCATAACATAGAATGTGTTGCGGAATTTGAAAAATATATCATATTATATATATATATATATATATATAATTTTAAATGATAATTGTTTTCACTCCCTACTGTAATTTTTTGTGCATGTTATATTTAAATATCAACTTAATTAGATGAAGGCGTCAAATATCCCAAATCTCTTTTCTCGCAAGCATCATTGTCTTCTTTTCAGGAACTACTTGAAACACAAACGTTATTGACAACTCAGTCACTTTTAAAGGGACAGGATTATCGGTATTAATATTTGCATCCGATATGAAAACTTTCATCATGTTAGGTGGACCAATAATAGTCACCTTCCGCATGCCTGCTATCATTTACGTAAACTCCTTACTCAGTTTATTTTCATTGTAATGTAAATATTTGTATAATTGTAATAAGAATAGAAGAAATAAAAAAATCGTTCTTCTTTGATATATTCTAATAAAAAAATAATAATGTAAATTAATTTTACATATATAAAATATCTTTTATCTTACATGCTACCCTTAAAAAAAATGCCACAATAATATAATTTTTTTATAATACATCTCTTTATTTGAAAAATTTTCCGTACAAAATGTTTAACGATTTTCTTTTAAGAAAATGTTTTATAATTTTTTTAAAAATTAATTAACAATTTATAATAATAAAAATTGTAAAACAGATGCAAACTGAATTACAGACCCTAAAATATAAAATTAAAATTAACCCAATTTGATTTTTATGTTACTCCAACGATGATTTGACGAAAGTTTTAAAAATATGAATCACGAGTACTAAGTCAAACCAATAATATATATATAGACAAAACCTATCAGTCCAATTATTATAAAATCAAACCAAACTCTCATAATGATTCATAACAACATGAACTTATTATATAATTTCAACTATTCTTACCTCAATTGCATTCTTGTTTTAGTGAATTGAATCATATTGAATTATTTTAAAATTAGGATAACAAAATCGTTAGGTAAGAGGAGTTGGTATGTCAATCTTTCTTAAATTTGTAAGTCTAACTTGGTAACTTTACTCAATTAGTTTTCTTTGATCCGATTCACTTAGTTTACCAATAGAGAGTAAGGGGCGAGATACATTAACTTATTTTAAAAAATATTTATATATTAAAATAAAAATAAAAATAATTATTATATTTTTTATTAAATATTAGAATATAAAAATATATTATAATATTATAATTTAAATTTTAAATATTAATCAAATTTAAATTATTAATTTTATAATAGAATATTTTAATACATAAATATAGTAATTTTCTTAATTTATCTAATAAAATATTAATTAATAAAAATTTAAAAAATATTAATATAATTAAGAATACATTTTAATATATATATATATATATATATATATATATAAATTTATATGTAAAAAATATTAGGAGGTATCTGTTAACTCATTAGTCTATCTTTTGACAAGATAAAGCTCCTATCTATAATCTATAATTATAAAAAGTCAATCTCTTTCATTATGATTTTGACATGTTAGATGTCATGAGACCAAACAAAATAAATTCACTCATTTTACACTCTATTTAAAATATGTTTTTTTTTTAATTTTATTAATTATAATTGATTTTAATTTAATAAATTCAATTCTAATTTTAAAAATTTAGCTAAAATAATATATATATATATATATATATATATATATATATTAAAAATAATACATTTTATTTAAAAATACAAACCTTACATAATGTTTTACCATGCATAATTTATATTTGCTCATTTGTGATATGATTCGTGTAAAATATTATAATATTTCGTACTATCTTATATCTTGTATTATGTAAAATATGTAACACACTAAAAAAAAGTTAAAAGTTAAAAAAAAGTATAACAACAACACGAACTTTTTCTACTAAATTAATATTATAATTTTTCATTTTGAATAGAAAAATGTTAGAAGGAAATAACTTATCAAACCAAAATAAATATTTTCATAAATATCTATTTTTAAGGATGAATATACAATATAATTCCATATATAATCCAAATAACTCTTACCAAATCATTTTGACAAAACTAAATCCCTATTATTAAGAATAAAGAGTGGAATATCAAAACTAAATCCCTACTATTAAGAATAAGGGGTGGAATATTAAAGCTTTATTAAGATGTTTATTAAGAAATGTTTATTAAGATGTTTGATTAAAGTAGTAGTTGTTTGAGTAAAACACAAATTAATTAAAATATTTTTTATTGAATAACTAGTAAGTTACTTAAAGTTTGATAAAATTGATTCACTAAGAAATTAAGTGGAAGGAATAAATTTGCATACGAGAAGAGAAAATACGTTTAACTAAACAAATTAATTATTTTTAAATAGAATATTTATTATTTATTATCACCATTCAATCAATTAGTTCTTTCATTAAAAATTAATTAATTTTTTATCAAAATATTAATTAAATTTTAATGAATTCATATTAATAGATGTGATTAAGTACCATAATAAATCATTTATAGTTTCTTAAAATTTTCTTTTAGAGTAAAGTTATGTTTAAGTTACTTAATAAATTATATGAAATAGTAAGATTTACCTTTTACATTTTCAAGTTGAAAATAACTAACGTGAGGTGCTGAAAATAAAACATGCACATATTTAGATCTACAATCGACCACTATGGAGAAAACATGGGAACCGAACCTTTAGACCATGGGATTGAAGTATTTGAGTACTTTTGGCATTGAGAAACATGAGAGACCCTCACAAATTCTTTAATATTCTTTTTCATCCTAATCAACCCCGATTTCCTTCTACATGTCCTCAAGAACCAGGAATGTTTACCCAAGGAGTAGAATGAAATTCCTTCTAAATGTAAAAGAATATCTTGTCTTTACATTTCATCCAACTATTATATGGGTTTAAACTAAGAACTCGAAATCTAATAAGGCCATGCTTTGAAAATTAGCAAAATATTCATCTACACAGTCCATCATAAGTTTTTCATCGTTAGGAATCGAAATTAAAATAATTTATATTTTTTTTCTCTCATTCCAACAACATTCTTAAGAATAAAATTATAATAAAGTGGAATTTTAAAATAAACACTATACTAATGATAATTGATGAAATTATCATAATAGACATCAAACTAAAATTTTTTTTTCTAGCTTTTGTTCCCTTTTATATGACATCCTTCCCTTATTTTTAATTTACATTTGATGAACCTTTTTCCTTTGGAAAATTACCTTTATAACCCCATTCCTGCGGTTACCATCATCAAAGGAATGGCTCAAGTAACTTAGTCATTTCCAATAATAGAGTTTGTTAGAATTTCACTACCAAGAGTTACATAGAATCCTTGGCAATGACTTGTCTAACGGATCCACTTTATTTGTATCTTAGGTGGCATGAAAGAGCTATCTGTGTATCCAATTCGTCTAACAAATTGATAAGATTCTCAAAAATCAGAATCAATATATATAAGAGTTTTATTAGAAATAAGAAATATAAAAGCTAAAGTATTTATTATCTAAACTAGAGCACCAACTCTTCAAAGAAATAAATTTCGTGCAAATATCATGGACTCGAAAAACATTTAATTTTTTTTCATAGGCTGCAAAATATAGATTAATTAGTGTAACTTCCTCGATAATTTGTTCACGCTTAAATATATTTTACAAATACTTATAAAAAGAAAAAGAAAATGAAATGTTTTTTCTTTTTGATAATAAATAACCATTTTTAAATAGAAACATGTATGTAAAAATATCACTACATTGAATATAATTCTAAAGAGGTTGGTTTGAGCTTAATTTAAAATATATATTTTTGAAAAGTTATATGGTTAATTACCTTTTCATAAAACAAAACTATTTTTTTTTGTTTTGCTTATACGTAAAATAACTACAACTTAAGAGAGAAAAAAAATATTTATTTACTTTTAACAAACATATGAGAAAACTTATCAAACAAGGCTTATATGTTTAGGAAATGGATATTTATAAGATATTTCAATTCCTTGTATATGCTCTCAACACTCTAGGATAATTAACAAACAGGCCCTTCTGAAAAATTTCATGATTTCTCAGTGAATATATATCATTGAAGAAAAAAACTATATTGTTATTTCGTCTTATAATAAACAAGTTACTGGTAGTTGTGAACTGCAGTTGAATCCCAGAAATTACGTACCCTAAACGGAATTGTCATTCAGAATAAACAACTTTCACTGCATTTCGGGACGAATGTTTCCGTCAGAAAGATACATATATATTAAATATTTGGATAGTGTATAAAGCCACAAGTTATAGCTGCCAAATCTGTACGTAGCAAACGCGGATAATGAATACTCATGAAAATGATCATCACTTTTTCAGGACCAGCACAAGGAAATATATTAGTACAACTACGTTCCAGAAGATTCAATATATTTGCTAATAATTAATTGGATTTTCCCATGGAGATATAAAACCTTTTCCTTTTTCACACTCAAGAATTTTTCAGTAATCAGGTGATATAATATACATAATATATATTTGTATGTATATATATCATGTATAGCAGCAATTAATGCCTTCCATTGGAAAGTTTGTAACAAAGCATTAACCAACATTCTTTCTTTTGAGGGTTGTCATCCTTAATGAAACACAAGCTCACTCATTTTCGATGTTGGTAAGATCTCAATGTATTCTCACAACTTGAGCTTCCACGAGTAGATTTGCTCCTATTCAAGCCACAATGTTGATTACTGAAACAGAAGAAGTGTTGAAGGAGAATCAAAAGAGAGTTTTCTGGACGAATAAGATTGGTGAGAAGGTTTTAGATTGTTTACAGAAGTACTGTGTGAAGGTGAAGGAATGGCGATAGAGAGATCAAGGTTTAAATCGGGAAGGGCACATGAGGACTGAGCCTCGCCACTTGCATCATCCGAGACTTCACCACAATGGTAAACATGCCGAGGTGATTTACTTGGCTCGTTCTTATCGACGTCTTTCGTGCCAAAGGGTTCTGAACTATCATCAGACATGAGAGGATTCTGAAGGAAAGGGACTTTATGATCTAATCGATGATTATTTGGATCAATACCTTTGCTAATCAGCTTTCTTTTTATGTGAGAATTCCAATAGTTCTTCACTTCATTATCTGTACGTCCAGGCAATCTCCCAGCTATTAGTGACCACCTGAACCAGTCAATATTAAATAATTATTTTTATTATTTTTTACTTTATAAGTCCAATTTATACACCAAACAATGAATTATGTGAGAAAACCTTTTTAGCAATGTACGTTGGAAAAAGTTTGCTTTAATTTCCATTTATATTGTCAATGGTGGTGATAATGTCGCTGATCAGTACACGTATCTACGGGATGATCATTTTTCTTTTTTCTTTTTTTTTTTTTCATTCTTATATACACGTATAAAGACATATAATTAGGTCAAAAGCACAATAAAGAAAAAGTGGGTTCATGGAATGTTTAGAACTAAATTCGCACCGGTTGCCAAGTAGCGCGTGAAGCTTGATGATGAGATCTTCTTCATCTTCAGCAAAGTTGCCTCTTTTAAGGTCTGGCCGTAGATAGTTTATCCATCTCAGCCTACAACTTTTACCACAGCGAAGTAAACCTAATAATCATCATCAAACCAAATGAATGAGGTCCAACATATTATTATATATGTTTGCTACATGCACGTGTGTGTGATATTGCTTGTTATAATGTGTTACAAATTTGATTGATTAACTTATTTCATACCTGCAGCCTTAGGGAGTGTACGCCAACAAACCTCGCCGTGTTTGTTGATATAATCTATGAGTTTCTGGTCCTCTTGTTTGGACCAAGCTCCTTTGTTCAAGTCTTTGATATCAGAACTGGGCTTCCTCATTCTTTCTACCTTTACTTGGTTTGCTTCAAACCTGAAAGAGAAAAACCCCAGCTAGAAACGGAAGAACCGAGGTGGGATAATGATATATAACAGGCAAGTGGTGGAGAAAGAGAAAGAAAGAGAGAGATATGCATATGGTATGCAGGATATAGGAGAAGAATGGAAGGGGTGATGAGATGAAAGGTGGAAATATATAGTATGGGTTGGTTGGTTGGTTGGAATTAAGGAAGTGTATGCAGTTGACTTGGACCGGTGGTTTTGCTCATACGTGACTGCGTGGTTCATGCGTGATTCACAACACACCTTCAGACATAGAGAGAGCAATGCCAAACACTCTTTAGGAAAGGGGGAGAATCAATTGGTTCTGTTCTTTATCCTTTCTTTCTACATTTAGAGGATATATGACATACGGTTGGTTTTAATGTGATTGCCGGTGAGATTGATTTATTGCATCCAACTTACCGTCAGATATTTGGTCCACAGCACCTAGATTAGGGTTCAATTCTCAGAAGAGACGGTGGGGTAAATATCATCATACACTTGCTATAGTACCAACTTGGTTTTCGAGTCAATAATTGAATCACTCTCTCCACACATATTGGTGTGAGAAAGAAAGAGTTTTCAACGTAACAAATACCTCATATCACCACCCATAAGCTAGATTAGTGGGAATGTGTTTTGAAAAATTAATTTTTTAATCTCCTATGTTAATTCAATGGCGCTAAAAAGATAAGAAGGGGGAAGTCAATGTTTTGTCATTTTACTTGTTTTAAAGAAAAAAAAAAATCGTTGAAGCAGGAAGTGCAATATAAGTTATATGAAAATAAAATGGATAAGGTACGAAGTTGGTGGTGTGTGTCACACACCTTACAGTGTTGACTGTTAGATTTCTCTTGCTTATTTGTTGTTCTGGTTTGACGAAACCAGATTATAAGGTGGGTGCATGCATGTTCGATCGCAAAGCTAGGTTTTCTCTTCTTTTATGTTTTCTATGCCAAAGTTCGATTTCTCAACAAGTTTAGTGGGTGATATTTCCTAACAGACTCATTTATAGCTCATCATGTGTGTGGCAAACGGTTCACATCTTTTCTCTTTTGCTGTTACACAGCTTCCATCATCATCATCTAACCATACCACCTTACTATATCCATCTCTATGTTTATACCTAAACCCTTCTTAATTTATAATTTAATTTTCCTGCGTATAAGTAATAACTTTGGATAAAAGGATTGACTATTTTAAAGAAATTAAAATATATTAAACTTAGATAGTTTTCAATTCAATTTATTTGTTTTTTTTAATATTTTATTTAAATGAGATAATTATATTTATTATATTTTAATCTATTGTTTGAATTTTAATT